ATATGCACCTAAATCGATATTCAGAGGTGCTGAGCAAATATATATATATATACACACACACACACACACACCAAGGTTAAAACTTTTGGCTTTAACCTCCCTGGGCTTCAGTTTCTACATCTGTAAAATGGGGATAATATTGTTTACCTGCCTCACAAAGAATAAATTACATTGTTAACATTTTTAAAATGTCAGGCAAGTCTCAAACTTTGCCAGAATGCACATGCAGACCTTACAGACCCTAGGAACTATAACTGCCCCTAGAACCCCAATTTATTTGGACAATTGTTCCTTGTAAACTTCTCTAAATGTTGGTAGCACTACAAAGACCTCAGCACAAGTAGCAGGGCTCCACATCTTCTGCATTGAGGTGCTGGGGGGAAGGATGTGACCTAAAGACACCTCATCACACCACACAAACATACACAATTTATTATGGTTAGGGTAGTACCAACAATATGCTAGGTACTATCCAAACATATAACATGAGTCATGATGCAGTCTTAGATTCAAATAACTCAACATACAAGAGTACAAGCAATGAAGGATGAGGGATAAATCATGTAATCAACATTTTCCTTTAAAAAAATGAATATCTGCTACTCCCAACCGATCCTCAACCTAATTATTATTTCAAGCTAATCTTTTGAAGGCATCATGGTAGGAGTAGGTTTGGAGGAGGTGAGGGTGGTAGCCTTATGGCTTAATTCAGTTTACCAAGGGGGAGAATGTACAAAGATGGTTGTGGGAGAGGCAGATAAATGTGTTAAAGATGGCATCATTGGCAGAGCAAAGGGAGCTGGTGATGAAGGTGTCAGAGACAAGTAGATTAGTAGAGGGGTCAGAGTTATATAGTGTCAGTTAAGTTTTGAATGTATACACTAATGATCTCCAGACCACTGACACAAGCCAGACAAATTTTCCAGTTGCATTCTGTACTTTAAGGAAAACCTAAATAGAGTAAGAAATAAGGTCTCTATCCAACTCCCTCTGAAGTCAATGGAAATTTAACTGGCATGGTTTACTTTATCATTGTTAAGGGCCAAGAATAAATAACCACTTCTTTTATAATTTTCCCTATTTTGCAGAGACGATCAATACAACGTTTGAATTTAGCGGTTTAAGGATGAAATTGCTGAAGGTACTCTCCAAAGTATATATACTATATCTAATATATATGTTAAAGGTTACAAAAATTTGCCAAATAGCTTGCTTACATGTATACTTCCGCTGAAAATAGTATTGCACCAAAACTATACAGAACAACTTCCTTACTGAATTTTTGTTTTTTTCTTACCTCAGGAATGACTGTACTTGAGTGGTAGGTGAACTCAAGTTGTTGCTCTATATATAGCTTTCTGAAAACTTTATTTTAAGAAATAAAATTAGCACAGGTGATATAACAAGTCTAATGCAAGCAAACAAACAAATCATTCTTAACATATTGAAAGGATAAGGGATATCGTGTAACTAAGAAAACAAACTGCCACTGTAGAACACTAGAACATAAGAATGGCCATACTGGGTCAGACCAAAGGTCCATCTAGTCCAGTATCCTGTCTTCCAACAGTGGCCAATGCCAGGTGCCCCAGAGGGAATGAACAGAACAGGTAATCATCAAGTGATCCTTTCCCCATCGCTCATTCCCAGCTTCTGGAAAACAGAGGCTAGGGACACCATTCCTGCCCATCCTGGCTAATAGCCATTGATGGACCTATCCTCCATAAATGTATTTACTGGTAGTTCTTTTTTGAAGAAGAACTATAGACAAAGGCAGGGCTGGCTCCAGGCACCAGCCCACCAAGCTGGTGCTTGGGGCGGCACCTGGAGGGGGGCGCTGTGGCCGCCGGGGAGAGCGGAGCCACGGTGGGCTCGCCGCCCTCCCCCCGGCGCAGCCTCTGGCCGCCGGGGCTCCGCTCTCCCCGGCGGGGCTCGCCGCCCTCCCCTGCCGGGGGGGGCGCAGCGGGAGGCTTTTTTGCCTGGGGCGGCAAAAAAGCCAGAGCCGGCCCTGGACAAAGGGATTAATGTGTGTATCACTGTAATGACCCTATATGTTCCCTATTAACATTTGGTGGTTTACATTAAGTAGGTACCATCCCACCTATTTCCTTGCCTTCCATCTATAACCATCTCATTCCATCTTTCAGGTTCTCTCCTCTCCTCCCTTACTGCCCGCAAAAATAACTTGCTCTTCCTTGTTCTCTAGATGGCCTCCAAACATGCACACTCCTATCCTTCTCACTTCAGATATTCTCTCTCTTTTCCTCTTCTCCCTATTTCCAGGTCACTCTTCCATGTCTCTTTTCCTCCTCTTCCCCATTTCCAAGTTCCCCGTTGTCACAGAGAGGCAGCGCAGAAGTACAGGTGACAATACAGTGACCCCCCTACAATACCTTTGACCCCCTTTTTGGTCAGGACCTCCAGTTTGAGAAATACCAAGTCCTAAGGGCTTTACAGATTTACATTTTGCCATTTTAAAATACATATTCATGGTTTGTTACAACACCATGAAATTTAAGATTTAAATACCTGAAATCATGAAATTCAAGATTTTTAAAATGCTGTGACTGTGAAATTTACAAAAATGGATGGTGAATTTGATCTGACCCTAGTTATTGTGGATCCAGACTTAAGTGACTTAGCCAGCATCAACAGAAACTCTGTGGCAGAGGCAGAGAGAAAACTGAGTTCTCCAGTGCAGCACTGAACTGCCTTAACCACGAAACCACCTTTTCTCTTCCAACAGTTCCCTTCCTCATTCACACCTTCCAATTTTTGCACTACATTTTTGCACTACAGACAATAATCTCCTTTACTCACAGACCTGCTCCACCATCAGAGCAGGCCCACCAGTGACCACATGAGACCAGGATCCTGTGCAAAAAATAATATGTGATCATGTAATTAAAGGCTGCATCATAATGCATATGCCCAAAAAGGCAATTCACAGGTAATCTTAATTCTTCATTTCCTAACATCTGAGTGCTTGATGTTGCAACCTTAATAAGGTCCTTTTAACACAGTGTTTTTTTAATGTAATTTCCTAAGTTTTTAAAAAAGTTAACTGAAAAAACAGAAATCTCATCGTACTGGCACCCACATTAGTTATCAGCAAGGTTGGAACTTTAGATCCACCACACAGACCTCTGCCACTTGAGCAAATGAAGTAACTGATAGCAGTAGTAGGTTGCCATTCTCTATGTGGACCAACACTAGAATGGATGAGACAGACACTTTGCCAGTGAGTTTCACAACTTTTTGCTGACAGCAGTGGAGTTTTGAGACTTAAGTATTGGTTTCCATTCCAGGCTCTGGAGGGGAGTGTGTTCTGATGCTTGCATAGCTTTCTGTCTCTGTTTTCACCCAAACCTGACTCCTTCTGCATTGTTAACTCCAGCCTATCCTGTGCCAGACCTGTCTCTCCCCTCCCTGGGCTCCTCATCCTAGTCTTCTCCCCTCCAGTTTCTGGGCTGAAAAGTGGCAACAAGATTATGTGTTTTTTTTCCTTTGTTTTAGGGAATATATACAATTTTTTTAAGATTATTCTCTGGTCCTTCTGAGAAGAACTTGCTCCTGTGTACGAATGTCACCTTGTTAATAAAATAGGACGGTTAAGGAATTTCTGAATAAGATTGTTTCAATTCATCGAGGAACACAAGAACTGCTGCTGCCACGAACTGGAATTTTGTCACTGAAATAATAAACAGACTGATTTTGCATGGGTAAGAATGCAAAATGCACTTTACCGTACGCATAATTATAAGGAAGAGGAATAGTCTCATCCATTCATATACTTGCTATAATCAAATGGCCAGCCAATTTGTGCAAAATTTCTATGTGAAAATTAGGTACAAATGCATACTGTTTAATCTACAGAATGACCCTGAAATGGTGTCGTAGTTAGAACTGTATTTCAATTCTACCTCGTGTTATGCAGAATGTGTGTATTTCAGATTCTGCTAAGCTAAGACAAGAATGTTTGCCAGAATTTATTTGATATAAAAGAAAAAAGAAAATCCTGTATATTCTCTTGTTCATTCTGTCTGTTTAGCTTCAGTAGCTATTCTATTCTCAGTCATTTATTTGCACCACCACACGCAACAGTGAAGTGAAAGACAGGAGTTCAGGGATCCTTGGTTACCTGGCAGCAGTTGATGGTGTTAATAGCATCTGAAACAGAGTGGGCACTGGGCAGCAGTGTTCACTGCTTACGCAGCTTGAATAGAGCTGCCTTAAGGCAAACCAGTGTCCTAGGCACAACCCACTGATGTGGTCCAGGCCCCTGCTTGGGGTGGTGGTGGCAGGATTATCCACACAAGCCCTCCCCTGCCACTGTTCTTCAAGTGGGCAAGCGACGACTTCTTCTCCAACCCACAGCCAATCTCTGGCAGGCTTGGGAGCAGGGTGCCCTGGCCTGCTGCTGCTATTTTTTAGGTGGCCAGTGCTTAGCCTCCCTCTCCACCTGAGCAATGGGCCCTCTGTGAGAGGCACTTTGTGTCAGCTCAGCATAGGTCTCCGTGTGGAGGGTGCCAAGAGCCCTCTGTGGGTTGGTGGTGTCAGAGGGAACCAGACCCACAAACAAGGCTCTCTCTTCAGGAAGAGTGGGTGTGGTGACCTTTTCTCACAGGGCCACCGTTCCTGAAAGTGCGGGGACTTAATGTCATCCTCAGGGATTTTGTTTTGAACCATCCTTTGCTCCAGCCAAAGAGGAGTAGCAGAGGAGGCAGCAGTGGCAAGGTGGCCCAATGGACACAGCAGTGGGCTATGCCCTCCCTCTGTCCTGGTCCATCAGGGAAACATGGGAGGAAGCCAGGGTTCTCCTCCTCTCCCTTGGTGACTAGAGAAGGAGAAACAATGGCAGACCAGGGAGGAGGGAGATCCTGATCTGCAAGAGGAGCAGCCTGCTGCATTGGTAAGCAGGCCCCTCTTCCCTTGGCCTAGCTGGAGAGTGAAAGCCAGGATCGTAGTGGCAAAGGCCATCTTCCACACTAGTGAGGGCCCCCACCCAGGAGCTGCTGCTGCAGCAGCAGAGTTTTGGTCCTTCCATGCTCCCAGCTAGGATTCTTTTCACCATGAGTTGCTGTGCAGTGGCTGTGGTGGTCTGAACTGCCTCCCCACTGGAAATTGTGTACTGCTTTGGTCCACCATCTTCAGGATCTTCCACTGCTTGGGGTGGGCCTTGGTCCAGTCAAGTGTGTTTGGTCAGCAGAGCCATGCAGTCTCCCTGGCTCTTGTAGTATAAGCAGGGTCTGAATGAAGCTCTCCCTGGACGAGCTGGGGGAAAAAGACCTCAGGACCAGACTATATTTACATGAACACACCTACTCTGCCTAGGTATTCAGCACACAAAGCCTTGTTGCCAAAGTGATCAATTTTGGCTGGTGGTTGGTTACAAATCACTTTGTAAGCAGAGGTAATTAAATGTTATTCTGATTGTTTTATTTAAAGGGCAGCAGAACTGTACTTAGCAGTTCTGTACTTAGCAGAAGGGGTCACCCTCAACTGAACTACACTCACTAAGCAGGGGGTAGGGATGCCAAATCCCAGTGAGATGGGAGAGGGAGAGTGGGAGGGAGGGAGGATAGGTGCCCCTAGCTGGCGGTGTAGGCTTTGCCTAAGAGTCCTAAATGCCATTAGACCCTCCCCTCTCCATTGTTTAAAGACAGCTGATTAGATTCAATTGAGAGTCCTTTGTTTTGTCAAGTGATCACTAGAGCTGAAATGACTGATAACTAGGTCTAAGTGCTGAGATTTAGACCTGCTGTGGGGCCGTGTTTCAGAGGAAGAGACTGCCCACCCTGCACTAGCAGCGAGGTTCCATGCTAACTGGGGAAATCACTGATGAGCTGGGTTAAGTGATGGGACATGGCAAAGGTTGCAGTAGAGAGGCAGGTGGTTTCAGAGAAAGTGACAGCACAGCAGCCAATGGTAGTGGAGTGAAGGATGGCACAGCAGCGGTAGTGGGCAGCGATGAAGAGTGAATAGCAGTGGTGGATTAGCCACTAGGCTAATGGGGCCCGAGCTCAGGGGCCCCGCCAATTGGGCGGCCCCTGGAAAAATGTGCACCCCCCGACCTGCTCCACCTGGCGCTCCTGCCAGAGAGTGGGGTCGGGGCGTGGAGCTTGCCCTTCTCCACCTGCTGGTCACTCCTGCCGGGGAGTGGGTTTGGGGCGCGGGGACTTGCCCTGTGCTCCCCGCCCGTCTGGCGCTCCTGCTGGGGATCAGGAGAAGCCCCCGCACTCTGACTCCACTCCCTGGCAGGAGTGCCGCGTGGGAAGAGCAGGTCAGGATGCGGGGCCACACATTTTTCCAGGGCCCCCCAATTGTCCGGGGCCCCTGTTGGCCTGGTGGCTAATCCACCACTGCATGCACTACTATATCTTTTGTGGTTAAGTTCCACAGGTCATCTTGCCTTCTGTATTTTCACAATAAATAGTTTAGGGCTAACTCCTGCAGCTTGAAGTCAGACAAGATCACTACTGACTTTGATGGGAACTTTGCTGGAGTAAGGACTAGAGGATTTTGTCCAAGGTGGACCAAAAAGGATTTCAGTTCACCTTAAAGTTGCTTAATGATTCTACATCACATAGTGATCCTTAGGAAATTAACAGGAACATTGTCTTAAAATACAGTATGATTTGGAAGTTTCCTCTCTGCACAGTCCAACACCAGGCTTTTGTTAGGCTAAATTCTCAGTCAGATGTTTCCTAATGAGTTAACTTTGGGGATTTTGAGCACATATTTTGTGGAATAATAGAAAATTCTGTGTTAAAGCAGTAAACTGATTAATAGCCACTAGGCTGTGCTGTCTCGCACTGATTACTTTCAATCCCTTGCTGACTATTACATAAACTATCAGCAGACAGACGAGCAGAATTAAAAGTTTTTACTTTTAACTTACAGTGGGCGGTCAGTTTTTCAAACTGGGTGCCAAAAAAAGCATTTTGGCACAATTGTAACCACTCCATTTAGAAATTGGGTCCCAGTAAATTTTAGTGGGAAATTCTGAAACAAAAGTCACAAAGAATCATTAGATAGTGTAACAAACAGAGGTGAGGGACTAATTGAGGCAAGATGTTATAATTACTTCAGAGCTGTAATGATTAAGTATTTATGCTTGCATTAAATTCTGCAGACACTAACAGGTGTGTACAGCAGTTCTTATTTTAGGTCTGAATAGAACTATTGGATATTAAAGTTGGTTTCCTTTGAATTTATTCTATAAACAAAACAAAAAAAAGGAGCCAGAAAATTTGGTAACTGATTTCTGCCTTACTATATATGTTTATCTTCATTTTGAACTGTACAGTTTGCCCCTATGAATGTTTCTATCTGACTATCTGAAATCTAATACTAAAGTCACAAGTGTTCAGGGACCAGTGAGGATTATTTATTTTATCTCAAGGCAGTTTTGCTTTTGCTTGGAATGTTTTCAGATACTAAAAAAATAATTTAGAATGAATATGTTCTGATCATTAATGTAGGACATATCCAAAAGTTGACAGAAGCTAGTAAGTGATGGGAAATAAATAAGGATACTTACAATTAAGATTTTTGTTAGCTTATCTGGTTAATACCTTGTAGATGTTGGAGCTTTGTAGTACAGATCTGTGGAAATACATAAGAATGGCCATACTGGGTCAGACCAAAGGTCCATCCAGCCCAGTATCTTGTCTACCGACAGTGACCAATGCCAGGTGTCCCAGAAGGAGTGAACCTAACAGGTAATGATCAAGTGATCTCTCTCCTGCCATCCATCTCCACCCTCTGACAAACAGAGGCTAGGGACACCATTCCTTACCCATCCTGGCTAATAGCCATTAATGGACTTAACCTCCATGAATGTATCTAGTTCTCTTTTAAACCCTGTTATAGTCCTAGCCTTCACAACCTCCTCAGGCAAGGAGTTGCACAGGTTGACTGTGCGCTGTGTGAAGAAGAACTTCCTTTATTTGTTTTAAACCTGCTGCCCATTAATTTCATTTGGTGGCCCTTAGTTCTTATTTTATGGGAACAAGTAAATAACTTCTCCTTAATCACTTTCTCTACACCACTCATGATTTTATATATCTCTATCATATCTCCCCTTAGTCTCCTCTTTTCCAAGCTGAAAAGTCCTAGCTTCTTTAATCTCTCCTCATATGGGACCCGTTCCAAACCCCTAATCATTTTAGTTGCCCTTCTCTGAACCTTTTCTAATGCCAGTATATCTTTTTTGATATGAGGAGACCACATCTGTACGCAGTATTCAAGATGTGGGCGTACCATGGATTTATATAAGGGCAATAAGATATTCTCCGTCTTATTCTCTATCCCTTTTTGAATGATTCCTAACATCCTGTTTGCTTTTTTGACTGCCGCTGCATACTGCGCGGACGTCTTCAGAGAACTATCCACGATGACTCCAAGATCTCTTTCCTGATTAGTTGTAGGTAAATTAGCCCCCATCATATTGTATGTATAGTTGGGGTTATTTTTTCCAATGTGCATTACTTTAAATTTATCCACATTAAATTTCATTTGCTATTTTTTGCCCAATCACTTAGTTTTGTGAGATCTTTTTGAAGTTCTTCACAGTCTGCTTTGGTCTTAACTATCTTGAGCAG